CATCCATTGTTCAAAACAGGTAATCTGACCTTTGACCTATTTATAGGCCTATACTACAGTAAGCAGTGATTGGGTTAGTGATCAGTTAAGCAATTAGTGTTTGCAGATGTGAAGAGTGTGTGTGTGACCTGGTGAATAAGTGTAGCCTTTGAATGGTTGTGTTTGGAAAAGGAACAGCAAGTCACTTCCTGTTAGATTTTTGTGTTTTAGTAGAGAATTGTGTATGTTTTGAAAAAAGTGTTTTATGCAATTGACAACTGAGTCAAAGGCTGAGACAAATAGCTTATGGTTTTGGAGATTTGGTGTGTAGTTTTGCACTTTGAGTGAGAGGTTTCAAAAATCGTGTGACATGAAAAGATTTTGTGTGTAAGCAGTTGGAAAAAACTGTAAACCCAGCTTCATCCATGTAGATGTATTGATGGGGTCTTTCCATTGCATCCAGTTGAAAAACCCTCTGTAGAAATAGATATCGTTTTGTAAGTGATATGGAAAAATGATTTAGGCCACTACAGTAAATCACTACTTAGAGTAATCAACATTGAATGTGTCTGGATATATGCCAACCTGTACATACTGGAATCTTTGCTCTTTGACTCTGTCTGAGTTGCGATTAAAGGGCACTCTGTATAGCTGTTTCATGCGCAGTCTGTTGCGCTTGAGGACACGATCAACAGTAGAGAGGCTGACACTGTTGATACCCTCAAAATGTAAATGGTCCTCAATGATCTTCTGCTGAATTTCGCTCAGTTTAATGGCATTGTTCTCACGGACCATATCAACAATTAGGGTCTCTTGGTGTGGGGAGAACATACCTGTCCTCCCACCCCCATGTGGCAGTCTTTCAATTCTACAAAAAGAGAACATGGAGTTACAAAAAATATACATGGAATACTAGGCCTACAAACAGTTAGACCAACCCTCCATTACAATACTAGTACATTGGTACAGTGATGTACTGAAACATATATTTACTTACAGTATACTGTGGTACAGTATATAGTATGTCATACAGTAATTGCTGTCAACATTTACATACTGTACTATAATGTCAAAAAAAGGTAATTACCTGTTCTCTTCTCTAAATCTTCGGATTATGGTGGGCACAGTGAATCTACTGATGTTTGGTTGTACCCTTTGTCCAGCCTCCCTCATGCTCATACCATGGACAAGAACATGGTCAATCACAGTAGCTCTGATTTCATCAGATATTACTGTTCTTTGTCTTCGCTGACCACCTCGACCACCTCGACCTCCTCTCACACGAACTCTTCCTCTCAGATTTCTATCCATTGTAGGGCCTCACAAACCAGTGCTCTCTGAACTGGCTTACTGTATATGTTCCCTCACATCATTAGCCACAAGTGTGATCAATTTTGAGTTGTTGTGTTCAAGTGGTGACACATGTGCTCTAATTGTGTTTGACTTTTGTCACCTGTGCTCACCATTATGCAGCACGGGTGCATCACAATGAAAATGTGTTGGCAAGTTATGTCTAAACAGGTGAAAAGTGCTTATGGTTTTGCCAAAAGAGTGATTGATTCAATCAGTGGGTTCAGGCAACTGAGCATTTGGTTCAGACAATAGGGTTTAGTGTTTTAGCAATTGAGAAAAACTGTATTATAGACTGATGATGCAGTTATTTTTCTTCCATTTTACATAACATACCAATTCCCATAGAAACAAAGCTGATAGTACTACACAGTGTAACAGGGTGGGTAGTGTTATGGTCTAAGTTCGGATAGGGTGGCACTAGTTCTGTTTGATGGCGTCTGTCCAGGACCTGTTTGTCATGGCCAAGGGTGTGTGAGGGCAGCTAGGTGGTCAGTGAGGATGACCTTGAATTGGCCCTAATCGGCCCGACTCATTAGCTGCTGGCTCTGCTGATGGTTTCCTCTGTTCCTCCGTTTAGCTTAATGGTTAGAGTGAGAGTGAGAGAGGAGAGAGAGAGAAGAGAGAGAGAGAAGAGAGAGAGAGTAGAGTAGAGAGAGAGAGAAGGCAGCAGAGAGACGGGTGTGGGCAGTGAACGAGGGCGGAGCCGCTGTTTACTTATACCTTATCAACATGCGGCCTTAGTCCTGATCTTGTCCACATTCTGATTGTGTGTAGACAATTAAAAGACGTATTGTGATCAGATCTTATAAGGGTGAACAGACAAGATCAGGACAAAACCGGGACAAAGGAAGCATGTTAACGGCAGGTATAAACAGGGCTAGAGAGAGACAAAACAGCAGACAGAGGGAGAGAGAGTTGAGAGCTATTTCCTGCAGTCCTCAGCTGCGAGCACATCTGTGTGTGAGGGGTCCAAACAGCCTCCCATGTGTTTGCTTAGAGGTCGCCTGATTGCCTTTCCTTCCTCTTTTCTCTCCCACTAAAGACCTGCTGTCCTTCCTCTCACTCCAATCACCGCGCTGCAGCCCAGAAAGGGGCATTCTGGGAGAGGGACACGAGGAATGGAGATGGAAATAAGGGAGGAATACAGTTTTTTTCAATCGCTTTGGTGCTATTTTCACAAATATGTGGTGGATTTTCTAAACTCTTAGTACAAAACTCCAAACTGTTAATACTTGTAACGCAGCAAGTCTTGTATTCAAAACAATTTATTGTGCATTTATTTTGTTTGGAGACATCTTTTACTGCACAGCCATTCATCCAAAATATAGGTTTACCGTAAAATACCATAAGAACATCGATTTAATCCCCAAAAACACACAACAGCCAGTTAATTCAATTTTTTTAAATGCAAGATACGTTTAAAAATGGTCCTTTGAATGCAATATGCTACAGTACTCTAAATTACAGTACATTGCACTGTTCACATTAGGCAATACTACCCATTAGAATTCACTGAACATCACATTTCCATCATTTCTATCCCATGTGTGATCAAAGATGTGACCATTGAAGACATATTTCACAATGTAATCAAACAAAATAAATGAAAGAAACATAATGTTTAGCAGGCACTAGTTTGCATCAAGCCTGTCTTGAGCATTTGGCCGTAAGTTCTCATCGAAATCGCAGTAAATGTCTTCATTGTTCATGCACCTGGGGAAAAAGCCTGACATAGGTCTGGATTGAAATCGTTTTATTCCTCATCCATGGCCTGAAGGAGGGTGGTACGCTCATGGGGATGGCAATCATACATCTTCCACCTATATTGTAATCGCGTATTGTATTTTACAGTATTGTATTGTACTTGTGTATTGTAGTGGTCCTGTACGTGGCCCAGTTCATAAGAGCATGGCTCTAGCAACACCAGAGTTGTGGGTTCGATTCCCACTGGGGTCACATACCACAATGTGTGGACTGTTTTCACGTTGGATAAAAGTGTCTGCTACGTAAATGGCATATTTTTACGGTATTACAGTACTCTATTTGCCAATACAATTTTTGTAAAGCAGTGTGAAACATAAGCAAACCAGTTTAAAATCTATTTGAACAAATGGTTAAGTGATTATCAATTAAGAGCAGTCGGACTAAGTAATAGTAAAATGTATTTTAACAAATGAGAAGACAATCATATCAAAAGTAATGTGAGCGTTGTATTGTGAAAAGCAAATTACTTCATATGAACATGTATTGCCATATGAAAATTTGGTGAAAAAGTGACTGTGATTTTGTGTGTTGTACTTGTCAATTGAAAATGTGCTTAGAGTTTTTAAACAACTGCCTTTTTGATGATCTTTTTTGAGTTTTGTACTAAGTGTTGTGAAAATGTACCACATACTGTACTTGTGAAAATTGCACCAAAGCGATAGAAAAAAACTGTAATATGAACCGAAAATGTGTATTTATGTAGAAGGACATGTGTGCACGTTAGTGTGTGACGTGGGAGCCCTTAGCTCACCCTGGGTTTGGAGACTGCTGTCTGGGTCACACTGGGGCACCCTGGGGCCTGAGATCCACAAAGAAGCCTTCTATAAACAGCAGCACATCACTCAGGGGAGGAGCACAACAAAACCATTACCACGCTTTGGGGATCATAGAGCTGGCTTCATTATATCTGATATCACTTAGAAATATAGCAGAAATCAAGACCTCTTCACCGACACTGGAATTCACTCTGACACTCCAATAGACAGAGAGAGAGAGACAGTGAGAGAGAGACAGTGAGAGAGAGACAGTGAGAGAGAGACAGAGAGAGAGAGACAGTGAGAGAGAGACAGAGACACGATACATTTCATGTTTCAAGGACTCAGTGACATTATTTAGTATTCAAACTTTATTTCCTTTATTTTGTGAGATGGAAAATGATAAAAACGTACAGCTCAGGAACAATGTCTCGTCTAACATAAGTCAGTGTTCTTTTCTTTACATAATAACAATGAAATTATAATCGTAACAATATCCTTGTGTCTGAAGAAAGCAAAAAGAGTGAAAATAAATTATCATAACAAGTATAACATCAATTATAACAACAATAATAACAATTATTAACTTTATATAAACTTTCTGTTTGCTTGCTTATTTTTTCCATAACGTCCAGGGGGACCAGGTGGGTGGTGTGTATTCCAGCATGTGAGGGGTGATGGGGTCAGTGGTGTGTGTGTGTGTATGCATGTACATGTGTGGGGAGGCTGTTTCAGAAAGTCTCTCGTACCCACAGTGTCAACAGTCTGTCCGCAACAGCCAGCCAGGACAGAGGGGGGGGGGGGGGGGGGGGGGGGGGGCTGGTCTCAGTACACTACAGAGGTTCAGGAGGGGAAAGCAGTGGTTCTCCCAATACCTCACATCTCTTCTCTCATAGGGTGGGAGGGGGTACCAAAGTGACTTAGTAAAAAAAGGCAACTTTAAGGGAGCAACTCAACACGCCCATGTTCGGCTTCACTTTCACCCTCTCACGTTCTCTCTCCCTTCAGTCACGTCTCCTCTCCATAATTCTCTCAATGAGGCCAGGCAAAACAAAGTCCTACTGACAGTGATCCCAATTACCCCTCTAGAAACAGAAGCAGTAGTGGTGATGATGGGGTGGAGGTGTGATGAAGGGGCTTCAGGAGGCTTCAATGCTCAGCCCAGGCCGGCGACCGTCCGGAGTGGTGGTGAGGATGGCCGAAGGAGGGGTGGATGGGAGTGGGAGTGGGCAGCATGTGTCCGGAGTGGCTGAAGGTGGGAAGGTGGCCCATGTGGGTCATGTGTCCAGCCAGGCCGGGGCCACCACCGAAGGGAGAGGACTTGTCATGCATGCATTTGGACAGCTCATCGTAGCCATCTCCGGACCGTTTGCCCCTCTTGGACTTGCTGGACATCTTGCGGTTGCGTGTCTGGATGCCCTCCTTCTTCATGGTCATTGGCCTGTTGACCTGTGGAGAGGCCAGGGAGGAGGGATGTTACTCAGACAAGCCTTGAATAATATAGGCTACTGCACATAGGCTTCATATTAATATTATGTGGGTTTCAATATCAAATAGGCTACCTGTGTTTCTTGTTTTTTTAAACTGTTCATAACTCAATTATTAATCATTGGACATTTTCTTGCACTCTCAGTGCTTTTATGTTCAACTATGTAAAGTGTAATTCGTAATTTTTGATCATTTAGAAAAATCTAAACAACTATGATGGAAAACATGTTGCCTTCTTAATAAACATGAGGAAAAAATCTGATGTGCCATAAATGTTGTGGAACAGAATTAACAGGCATTGGATAATCAAGCCACGTTAAAAGGCACGAGCCTTTTGGGCTATTGTCTTATTTAAAATCAAATAGAATTATCTCACTAAACATGAATACACGAGGACTGGAAGCCATGCTGGATCTGAAAGGGCTACTCTCAGACAAGTTCGCATCAATGTAACTCACGCGTTACCCTGACATCAATGTAACTGACGCGTTACCCTGATTGACAGTTCCACCCTCCAGCCTCCCCAGAGAGTAACACCCCCCATTGAAACAAAGATTGATTGATAAAAAGGGAAAAAACGACCGGCGGGTTCTGCTTCGCAGGGAAAGCAGGCTTTGCATCTCTTGCCCCAGCTCCTAAATCGATACAAGCTGTCCGCCCTCTTGACCAGCTTACCCAACAGTTTCTATGTAAGCGGTTAGGCTACTTACGTTGTGCAGTTTGTAGTAGAGCCCGCAGGCGTTGCACACCGGGTCGCCATTGCCGTTACGCCTCCAAAGGGTGGTGGTGGTGGTCTGACAGTTAGCGCAGCAGGTGCCAGCTCGTCTCGAAGCCGACTGAGGAGAAAAACGCAGAACGTTAATAGGCTACATTATGAATAAAGCCATTCAAAGGTTAGCTGATTTGACGTTTGTATTAGCCTAGGCAACAGAGATCAACGAGGAAAGTGAACATGACATGAATACGATTATTGAAATTAACTACTATGGCCATTTAGGCGTAGCCTAAGGCATAGCCTAATGTAGGCTAGGCCTATACATTTAAAATGTTCATTCGAAATTTTGCCTATAGGATATTTCTGCATTTAAAACTTAAAACCTCTCGTTTTATAGCCTATTGTAATGTCCCACTCTCAGGGCTACATTCACAAATAACTTAAACACCAGGCCAGCGCCAGTTAGACTCATGAAATTGCTTACAGGGAGTCATATCTGTATCGATTTAATTGAATTTATTCTGTGATTTATACAAGCTTAATTCAATTTTCCAATTTGTGCAATGCTGCAAAAGCTGTTTCTCTGAAATGCGTTGTTTCTGTCTTGTACCAATTACTGCTGTCATATTTCATTTAATACAAAAATTAGATAGGGCACATTAATAATTTATGCTGTCTCTTTGCATGATTCTCCCTTGATCCAGAGAATCAAACGACCCGGACTAAAGGCGTCTATAAGACCAGGCCCCTGTCTGCCAATGCGCTTTGTGTCCATTACAGATCTATTTTTCATAGATAAGAAAAATGTAGGCTCACAATACAGTAACACTACAGCAATGTATACTGCATGTAAGCCTATGTATTTATTTTAATTAATTTAGGGTTTTATTATAGTGGTTCATGCAAAACATCCCGAATAAAAACAATGATGGCGACGGACGGAATTTAAAAAAGAGATAAAGAAAAAACGACTACTACAAAAAACACATCGCATTCCGACGCATAAAGCTTGTGCCAGTGGCAACCGAGTATGACTAACAAACAAGAGACCAAGAACATAAATCTATTTATTTTCCAATCCCCACCACCCTCCCGCCCCTCACGTTCTCTCTCTCTCTTCACACATAACTGGGTTCTACAGTGTTATGATAATCGCTTTACAGTATATGTCAAAGTCTGGCCTGCCGGGGCCATACAAAATGCAGCGGTATTTGTTGAAGGCGGAAACACCCGGGAGCCTGGCTTCCTTATCGGGCCCGGGCAGATATCCGAATAGGAAACAACTGGATGCCCTTTGAACAGAACTCTGAAAACACTTGAGCTGAAAATGCAAAGCTGCGGCCACAGACCGACCCATGGAAAATGTAATGGACTTCTCATCAGGAGAAGGAGTCAGAGGCTTATTTTCACCAAGCTGCGCTAAAATGACTTATAGCCTACTTGTTCCACTAATGCTGACAATACCGCTAATACAGTCTGTTACAATATATTTCAGAAAGAGTTATAAAAATAAAATAAAAGAAACAACATTCACAATGTTCTCCATCCCATTACATGTATCTCAATGGAAGATAGCATAGGTAAAGACAAACTCAGGCAACCGTTGCAATTTGTTAAACAATTAGGCTATTGCTTTCCAATAGGCCACCATGTGGGTTAGACTACACTTGTAAATTAAAACATGAATTTACATGTAACAACATGAGTGAATTGGGCTACAATTAGGTTATCCAACTGTTGTGTCTTTGGAACTGCATGACTGGATGATTGCATAACGAGTGTCAATTGAATTAGATAGTAAGGTATAAGCTATTGATTGAAATATTCATATTAGACCTATGTATAGTAGTATGATTTAATTCTGTCAGAACAAAAACTATTCAGATTAGCCTATCCAGAAATGAGGTGTGGCGGGTTAAAACGCCTACTGATCATAAACATGTTTAGAGGGAAACAAGGTAGAGAAGGTCCTTATATAAATAAAGTAAAACATGTTTTAGCTAAATGTAACTAACGAATTTAAAGTTTATATCAATCTAAATCCATTGCGTATTAATGCTTAAATGTTTGGAGCTACCCAAAAGTTAGCATTTGGAATGTGCCTTGAACTGCCACTGAAATTAAGTCACTTCTCACAATTTACTCTTGGGAAACTTGAATATCTTTAAAAGTTCAAGATGGTAAGTAGGCCTATCCTATACAATCAAAATGATGATTCCTAATCAGAGGTCTGAATATAAAATAAACAAATAAACCCTTTTCAAAGTAATCAGGAACCAGTATAATTTGGGGAAAAAATAACTTGTAATAATAACTTGTAAATTAAACATACAATAATACTTCGGCCCACCTGAGACAAGGAAAATATATAGGCAGATGTGCATTAGAAGTAACAGGGCTCAGAATACTCCTTGCTCCTAAATGCCTGTGCAGAAACACTGGACAAAGTGTTTGTGTGTGTACACTGTTTTTCACTCACTCCAGCCTAGTGATAACTTTAGCATCATGGGCATTGGGATCAGTGACAGTATCAGCAGTACCAGCACTAATGATAGCAGTTACAATGGCAACAGTAGCAGTATTGTAAAAGGCGGTGTAGAGGATCACCAGGGGGTGAGAGGGACAAACAATTCCAGGAAGATCATAGGGAAAATATAATTCTCCTGGAAATATCCTGGCGGTATCTGCTTTGTGCTCTATTTGGGCCTCCTTTCTCAGATGTGGAAGGGTAGACAGGAATGAGATGGGGACTCACCAGTCTGCGTTTGGGTTTGATGAGAGGTCTGTTCTGGCCGTTCATCTTGTGGTACAGGCCGCAGGCATTGCACAGGTAGTGGCCTGTCCCGTCCCGCCGCCACAGTGGGGTGGAGGTGGCACCGCAGTTGACACACTCGCGCCCCTCTGAGCAGAATTCAAGTGGAGGGAAGACAAAGGGAAATTTATATAATTAAAAAGTTCACACTCCATCAAAAGCTAAACAGTAACGGATTCACATTGAAGACAATAGCCGTCAGGAGGACACACAGGAAATCATGAGCCTATTGGAGCCACTCTTCATTAGTAGTGTAATATGAAGTCCAAGTCCCCCCTGTGAGGACAGTGTCTCAGTGTGCATATCAGTGTGCAGGTGTACCAGCCGAGAACAATCCCATATGACTGTCATTTGTACAGCTTGGTTCAGGGCGAATTGCCATGGACACAGACACCTGTATGTAAAGTGATCCAGGGTAGGAAACCCAGAGACAGCCAGGATGTGTCCAAAGGTGTCCAAACAGATGAATGTGAGACACCATCAAATTAGAGCTACATAATTCATCAGCTTAGTGAGCACACATGAGAGGAAACAGAAGAGTGTGGTGCTGGTGGTGGTATTAAATGTGGACCACATTGTGGTCGCCACCAAATAGGTGCCCATATTGTAGCTCAGTATCACTTTATATCAGCCCAGTTTCCCTTTTTCCTTTTACTGGTGCCTTTTGAAATGGTTTACTAAATATTTTAATTGTTAGGTTTCTGTTTGTGTACCTGACAGCAACTGTGACCCATTTAGTGGTGACCCTGATTGTGCTTTCCTCTTCTGGTGTGTTCAGGGTTCAAGTCTTTTCACCCACTTCTACATCTGCAGCTGCTGAAAACCAGTGGGTGTTCCATCTCTCTCTCTCTCTCTTACAGGTTTCACTGTGTTACAATGCACATGCTCAGTCAAATGGGCCGTTGCTAAACCTCGACCAAAATGGCCTTGTTTAATTCATGTCTCCCTCTCCCTAGAGCATCATGCCTTTATTCCTATTATAATGTCAGCAACACCCACAGTCCCACCCAAACCCGAGAAAGGGATCTGCTCTGGACAATGGCAATGCTCCTTTTGAAGTGTATTCTGAGTGTTTGACTCTCTCTCCCTGTTTTGTCAGTCCAGCAGAGGCACCAGTATCAATACAACATCGCCTTCCAGCTCCAAAAATACAAAAGCTGTTGAATTGTTGTGTAATTTGGGGAAGTTCCTTAAGGAGAGAACACTGAAATCCCACTGGCCGAGAGTATAGTAGAGAGAGTTAGGCCATTTGCCTTTCCAGAGAGGAGGTATGTAGGTGAGCGGATAGGGCTGGTTTGAGGTTATTTAAACAGGAAGCCACACTGTTGTGTAAGGTATGTGCTGACTGCAGAAATGTCATTATGGCATTTCATACAACAATCAATCACAGCTCCATCAGACTTTGGGACTGATAAGGGAATGACAGGCCTTATGTGAGATACTGATTCTGGATCTGTAAGGGGAGCTTCAAGTTCATGTGCATTTCTCTGTTGTGATAGTTACAGTGCTCTTACATACAATAATCCCTTTAAAAGATTTGTGGATATCGTTTTAATTAAAATATTTGCATAACCAATCTACCATCCACAAATTATTGAACTACTGAGCATACATCAGATAATAGCACTTTGATCTGTAGTGATAATCGAAATGAAGATGGTTGTTGCTAATATCTCTATACACTAATGAACTGTTAGAGAGACTCCACATTCAAAGTATTTTTGGACACCAGGCCCACAACATAATTAGCTTTGAGCTAATTAGTCTGAGCAAATGTAATGATAAATGTCTCCCTATGAGCTCATGTGATGGCTTGATTAACTATATAATGAACTATCTAATATTTGTATTAATTTATCTGAAGGTGATGTCCTCTTTGGTAGAACCTAAACTTCTATAAGAGTAACAGTTATTATTACAATATCATATCCTTATTATCAATTATTAATATTGTATTATGACTTTGTTGTCATTGATATGGTCATTACTACTAGTGTTAATCATCCTTTCATCTCCCTGGGCTTGATTCTTTCTCACCATCTCAGAGCACTGGGCCAAGGCCATGCTTAAAAACACAAACAGCAGGGCTCTGTCGCCTGTGACCGCGCGTCCCGACAGTGCTTTGTTAGTATTGGGGCGAGCGGTGGACCGTGGACGTCGTGATTTGTTCACTCAAGGTATACAGGATATGGCAGGAGTTGCCAGAGCGTCGTGACTCCTGCATTTTTAAGCTTGATAAAGACCAAATTTAAAAGAAAACAAGTGGAAGCGAACACTTCTGCCAAACAAGGGCATTGGTGGAATTTATTTTCAGCATCCAGCCAGCCAGCCCAGATAAACATAAACACGACCACATTAAATATGGATTCAAAACAATCATTAGGTTACCATTCGTGCAGTTTTGTAATAAAAAAAACGTTATTTTTCAATCTGGATAGGCCTGTCAGACATGTTTATTGTAGGCCTAGGCCACGTAGCACTTTCAACAGGCCTACTAATAAAAACATACACAATAAGTATTATTAAATATTCTATTGAAATATAAATCTATTCAGCACCCGCTTTAAAATAATTGTGCCTACTAGCCTATACGCCAAATAATCGACGATAAATATTTTTTTCACGTTGAATTCCGTATTTTCATTTTGGTGACTGTTTGACTTTAGGCTATTATCTCCTTGCCTCGACTCAAAAGCGTTTAATCATGCTCAAGCCTGAATATTTGCGTTTCAAATATTAGTCGTTTCATGTTAAATGCTTAGTCGTTTCATTTAAGTGGATGGTGTTTACAAGTGGTGACGAATGCGATGGAACAGAGATAAGAGCCACTGCGACAGGTTTGGGGAGGAGAGAGAAGCGCTGCGGGTAAAATAACCTGAAGTTATTACAGCAACCGTTCGACAGCGAAACACTTACAGGACCACCCAATCTATTTATTGAAGATAAAAGCGTTCATAGCCCTACAAAAAAAAAGTAATTTAGAGTAGGCCAATGTTAATTATTGTTTGGGCCGAGACATAAATCCATGCACTTCCTAAGCGTTTTGACAAAACATAGGCCTAGTTTATATTGTCAAACATGGACTCCCAATATTTGTATACCTTAAAATTACACAATTAGGCTATACCAGACTCTTTATGCGCAGGGTAGCTTTGGAATAGACTTATGAAACTCACCTGAGCATGACCGGGCTTTGCTTTTACACTTCGGCGTAAAGCTGGATGAAGATCCACCCAGCAGGCTACCGGGGTGGAAAAGACTGCTGCCGTATTCGTGTGGTGTTGGGAGAGAGTATGGGTAGGTCGGGATGGGGTGGTGTGTTGCGGGAGTTTGGGCACTCATCGAAGCCAGGCTGTTGCGGAGAGGACTGCAGCCCTCCATTTTCATTCCGTCAGCCAGTGACACTTGGTATTTGATGGACTCCTTTTCGTCCATTCTCGTCGAGGTGGAGGTTGGAGAAGTAGGGCCGAGGTCCGGAGACACGTCTTTGGGAGGCGTAGGAGGGAAACTGTAGAGATGGTGCGGGCTGCAGTGGGACGCAGGGGTGAGGGAAGACACTGGAGCAGTGCTGGAGCTACTACTGCAAGGATAGCCGGAGCTAGCAGGATGCAGTCCGGGCTTGCTGAAGTGACTGACCGCCCATGCGTTATGGTGGTGGGCAGCAGAGAGGGCCGCCTTCCCGCTGTCCAGCCACGGAATGCCGGGGCTGTGGATGAGGTGTGGCCGGCAAACCTGACTCCCAAGGCGAGCTGTAAATAACAAATATTATGATTTTTTTCTAATCGAAAACGATGTGTCCAGTTCTATCACACTGCGTAAAGTGCTATCTCCTTACCTGTTGATACCAACTCCAAACTATTTAAACTCGACATTGAGGTATAATTTTCTCAGTGTAAAAGTTATTCAAATAGCCTACAGGGCACCAACTTTAAAACCACGCCATTTTACAGTCCCCAGCTAAATCTTAAACAATAGTTAGGCTACTACAGCTCCGTACCATAGACTACTTGACAAAATATTTACAAATGTAAATGTTTACGCTTATTGCAACACAATCTCTTATTGCAGAAAGCATGTAAGGGAGAAACAAAATCCACGAGGAGAAAATGGGATCAGTGTAGAGGCCTTGACTGATCTGCTATTTGCCTATGGTCTATGGCCTGCCTGTTCGTCGCTCAGTTCCAGATCTCAGACTAAAGAATGTTATTAGTAATTTTGCGGTTTTGATTTTATATCCGGGAAGTGCCTCTCTCTCTCTCTCTTTCTAGAAACCCCTGCCCCAACAGAGGGTAAATGACATACTTCCCTTTCCTCTTGCTGTCTTTTGCTAGAAATTCTAGTTTTATGATTACATGCCGTACGCCAGAGACAGCCACGCGTATGGACATCTATTCGTTACAGTATTTCAATTTACATCATTTATGTGCTCACATTTTAAATAAAATACCCTATATAGATGTATTTTTAAATACAAGGTTCTGTGTGGACGACTTTTTACTAGTAATGGAATTTTATTTACTGGCATTGGAAAGTTTTGTGCATCAAACATCACACAACTAGTTATGGCAATAATATAGGCCTACCATCGATGAGTTTTAAAGCAACCGCCTGGGTGGTTGGATACATGATGTCTTATTGTAACTATACATGTTGTCTTATTGCACCCTCTCACAATTACCTAAAGGCTATAAAGCAGATTTTAATTAATACAGTTTAGTCACAAGGCTGAGCGCGTCTTACCATGTGCCTGGCTGTATGTAACCCTGGCCCGGGAGTTGGCATAGTAGGGGTTCCCCTGAGAGTCCAAGTGGTTTAAAAACACGTCCACCTCGTCTGGGGGTAAAAGCGGCGCCATGGGCTCCATGTAGTTGTGGGTCAGGCTGTGGTGATGGGAGTCTGGGTGCTGCCCATTCAGCACGGCGTGATGATGCGCCATCCACCGAGATTGATCGGCTGCGACTTCCATACCTAAGTCGTCGATCTCTTTATCCAAGATATAACCAAGACGTCGTACTTTTTCTGAAAATATAAATTATCTTTATGTGGTCCTTCTCCTGGATTAAGCACTTTTTACAGTCCCGAAATGTGGAGAAAAGGATGGAAGTAGTGATGTCATACGGGTTTTCGGCACACACTCCTTAAGGTTATTTGCTTCAGAAATAGAATCCTTGATCCGTGTTATTGGCTCTTACTGACACCTGCAATGAAACACAACAACATTTTCAAATTTAATACACAACCTGGTGCCAGACCTTTTTGCACAACTCCTTCGGCGATGTATGCAAAATATAAGAGATTGTTGTTTTTCCATATAAATTCAATCATCCCAGGAGCATTGCATGGCCTACTGAAGGCCTTTTACAAACAGCTTTCACCACAAATGTGGATTTGTTTTAAACCATTGCTGCAATGTTATACTCATAACAAATGCATCCAATCTTATTCCGTTGGGAAAAAATATTTCTTCTGAATTTACCTGTTGAATGTTTGATCTATGACTACGATCAGCTGTTCAAAAACACTTTAATCTCTGAAACGCCTGATCCGTGAGGTACCCGGGCGCACGTTCCTACTGAATTGTGGCTGTACACTGACGCGACAGGCGCCAGTAAATTCCATATCAAGCGAGCCGGGGCGGAGTCACGGGCGAGCAGTGACCTCCTGTAAGCCAATCACAGATCAGTATAGCTGCAATTGGCTCATGTATTCCAGCTCTTTCAGTTTCCATTCGAAACAGTAATGCCCCGGACCAAAAAACTAAAAGACATATCAATCAGCGGTGTAATTTCTCGGGGGACTTTTCTCTCTCGTGAAGCTCGCAGAATGAGCAATTTGCCCCTGATAATGTCTTCTTTTACCAACACGCAGAGACAGACAGCCCAGATGGAGGCAAATTGAAACTATCAAATGTAAGCCTGACAATTTCTGTAAGTCAACTAGGCCTACATTATCTGGAAAACGCAGTAAACTATAGGCTGTTGTCGCTTAGCCTAGTTTACCACTTTTAGATAGCACAACATTATATTACTAAGAGTTTTAATTCAAAGTGTATGCCAATGCTATTTTGTATAGGCTAGTTAAATGAAACCAACCAGATTATATTTTCTACAGGCTTAGTGGGCTAATAGAAATGCTATCAAACATCATAAAATAATTAAGCAGTCTTTTGGTTATTATTCTGTATTCAACAGTAAAGTGGTTGGTTTTCACATATGCCTTGTTTTACCCATAGGCCCTTGTGGAGAACTGCATCGGCAGTTTGGACAAACTTTACAAGGATTATATATGCCAATTATGTAAATGTCTTGTAGAACAACACCAATTGCAAGTGTGAATTTTCACATGAGCCTGCAATGCATATAAACACAATTTTCAGCACCTCTAGGATTAATATAGGAGGAGCCGTTTTATGACCTCGAATGTGGGGCCATTGTTGTGAGCGCCTAATTGTCTTTAATTAGTATTCACGACATTCCTCTTGTGAAAACATTGGTTTTGCCTCAGAGATAGAACAGTCAAACACTTTTTGCATGTTAATGGAGCCTTTTTCTCACTTGGTGGTGCAGACTAGGCGTCAGGCCCGCCTCACCTGCGTAAAACCAATTGGTGACCATTAGCGACACTTTGTTAATTATTGTTTACATTCACCACATGGCTGAAACAATAAGGCTTGTCCACCACAGGCAGAAAGACAGAGTGTCGCCAATAACCTTATAACAAGTGCGCCGGTATAACCAGCTAGGCTTTGTCCTATAACCGCTCTACATACCTAAATACCTATGTATAGGCCTATATGTGATTTATTTCAAACCAGGAATAGATTGGAAGTCCTCATAAGCAAAAGCCTATTGAATAATAGGCTACCAACTGAACCTCATAAAAAGTGGTCTATAATCCAGCGCTTGTTATGAGGTTATTAGGCTTAGCCTACAAGCTGTATTTTATTATAATGTGATGAAATACTGTAGCCTACACACTTTTGCACAGGTATTATATGGGCCTGTCTGTACCTGATCAAAAGAATAGGGGGAAAGAGCATCCAGGATAAAATCGCCAGTCGAGACATACTTGTAAAAATGTGGCATTTCGTGCCATACATCACGATATTGAATATTAAAAATATAATGTTTAATTATGTATTTTTTAATAAAGAAAGTGTGCGTGTGGGGGGGGGGGGGGGGGGGGGGGGGAGTGAGTGTGTGTGTGTGTGTGTGTGTGTGTGTGTGTGTGTGTGTGTGTGTGTGTGTGATTGACAGGCAATAATTGGAGGGAGCTCGGGGCCCAGACTGGCCGCCTCTCTGACGCCGCGACTAGACGTCACAGAAAAGGAGAAAAAACCTCAGCGCATGAACTTTACAATCGTTCCAAAAAAGCCTCGAGATCAGTGACGACCAAGCTTTATTCATTCTGATAGAAATACAGTGATGTTTTGGCCAAGCATAAATCAAATAATTACATGCTTAGGCTACTATCCTCAACCTGTGAAAAAAGGGATGCATGAATAGCTTAATACATTGTTAGAAAGAGGGCATTTGGACAGTTTGGGCTTTGATATGAGGATGTCTGCAGGGTGTATGTGTGTGTGTGTGTGTGTGTGTGTGTGTGTGTGTGTGTGTGTGTGTGTGTGTGTGTGTGTGTGTCTTGGCATTCAGTCATTGGCATCTGGTCAGGGGCCATGACATGATGAGCTCAGCTCTATGTGCTTGTCAACTTTTAAAATCAACAAATGAGTGTATGTGGGGTCATAACACACCCAAGGGTCTCCCTATGTAATCACCCAAATAACAGACATTCTCCTGAAATGACACTGCTATAGCAGTTGAAAATGGCAGGTGTGCTAGTGAGGATATCTGTCTTAATAAATAGGTTTCTTTGAAATAATTTGCAACTCTCTGTCAATTGTCATTCATTGAGCTGCTCAAGTTACATAGATTTCAAACAATGTTTTCTATGGCACTTTTGTCTAAAGTACAACATAAATATTCCCTAAAGATATTTCAGTGAAAAAGTACAGGACTTAATGTCAACTGCATTTAGAAAATAATAATAAGCATCAACACAAGAGATCTCTAAACTATAATGCATCAATTTAACAGCCATGTACCAACTACATAAAAATTTAAAGCAAGAGGAATTAAGATCTTGTCTTGACCAAACCCTAATAGTGATCATAGCAGGTCATCCATTTTTTCTTTACATCACTGCTGCTGTCTGTCTGGTTGTCTGTCCTCGGTGCTGTACTCCTCTGTACTGCAGCCTGATCTGTGCTGTGTGGCTGGGACTGGGTGGGTCAGGCCCAGCAAGCAGCCTCTCCATTGTTGTTTTGCATGTTTGCCAAATGGATTACTCAGCGGGATTTACCCCTCTGTAATTTATACCTTCATTAATCCCATTTGTATCTGTGCTGGAACAAAGGATGGGAGGATGGGTTTGGGGAGGGGGGGGGGGGGGGGGGGGTCCTCTCTCAAGGACATAGCAGCATTGTCTCACAGGGGATACTATCCTACTAGAGCGGTAGAGCCCTTGGAGGTAAGCACATGAACCCTTTCTTGCTGCCTATAGCTGAGGGAAAACATTTATTCCTATAGGAAATGTTCATTGGCTATACATGGCAATAACAGGCATTGTTATGAATAAGAGGCAATACAATGGTAGCAAAACCATGTCAATTCAGGTTGCTTTTTCTCTTCTGCCGTAGGTTTGTAGGCCTATCTGTGCAGCAGTCAGCTTTAAAGTCCTACTCCAGTCTCCTTTTCACCCCATTTAACACCTGATTTACTTAACAAAAGGAACATCCCATGCTGAAGATATCCCTACGACCATTGCTAAGGTAAGGTAAATAACAGATGGTTGTTATTACTGAACCAGAGTAGATGTATGAGCCACAGAGACCATTCCAATAATTAACAGGTGCTGTTATGAAATGAGGGGGGGGGGGGTAGAGAAAGCCACAGAGGGGTTTGTGAAGATAAGCAGAGCTGGGGAGAGGAGAATGACACAAACCAGCTGAAGCATTATTGTCCTTTACTCATGGGTAATTACATTGAGCCAGGGCACTGGGGGCTATAGTGTAGACACAAGCAGACAGCACCCAGCACACAGCTCATCCTATTGGAAGGGTGAACCCAGAACAGGGTTGTGAAAGCAATGCATTTTCACCCTCATATTAAACTAGATGCATTAACTGTTTTCTGAGTTGGTGAATCTGGCGACTGAATGTTCAAAGGAAACCCCATAGTATAATGTTCCATTATTGGATGGACTTCTGTACATTTTGGCTCCATGGATCTCACTGGTAGCCTTGACATAATATTCGAGTTTATTTATATTAGGTCTAAGTGATCATCTTGACCACACTTATCTGACACACAAACGCAGAATAGGGACGCTTAACTAGTATGGCGTGTGAGGGGACTGATAGGTGATAGGTAAGGGGCCACATGCCGAGTTTCGAGTGTAAGTGTCATTTTTATTAGCTGATGACAGTCTCACGAGGGCAATAAATCTGCCTGCGCGAGACAACAGTCCCGCCCCTGTTTCTATTCGACCACTGAAAGCATGACGTTATTGCCCTTTCTTGTGATGAAAGGGGGTTGGTTACTGGAGTCTTAATGCGTTTGAAAGCACGGGTGATTAGTGGATACATACATCGTCATATCAATATAACGCTGATGTTGATCTCACACCCATGATTGGTTAGCCTAGATCTGCATAATTCCATAATTCCATAACCCAACCCAAGGCCACAGCAATTGTCAAGTTTAATTCAAGTTAAATTGTGATTCACTTTTTAATACTTCACGAACATCTAGTAAAACAAAAAAAACGGATCACATTAAGTCAGTTCATTCAACTGTTTAGGCTACTCGTAATAACACTGTTAAACCATGAATAATTGAATCTGAACAAATGATAGCCTAATCGATGATCTTGTCTGGTGCAGCAGGTATTTCTTTGGGAGGACGTTAGCTCTACCAGATGACTTCATGTTCAATGCATCACATTGTGTTATATTCCTAGTTTATATAGCCTAATAGTTACAAAGACAGGTAATAACGAATACTCAAAGGAGCTATAGCATACTGGTTCTATGCATTTTTCACCAACTCCCTTATTTTAGGTCTATTTAGTCTGATAAAAAAAGTATGTGATTGTTTTGAAAACCAGAAAACCGCGTTTGATAGTATAATTATAGATTATACAGGGTGCATACAGCACGTAATCGCAGAAGATATTTGCAGAATTAGGTTACATGCTGCAAATCGAATTCTTATGAATGGTAGACTATATTATAAAGAAATTAGAAACTGTTTGCATAAAATACATTGAAATGGGAGTCTTTTGTTATTATTGTGATAGCTTATATGTTCTCTTGTTCTTCCCACG